ACCTTCTCGGTAAATCCCAATGGGATAAAAACCGATTAGGAAAAAGAGTACAGCCATTCGCTAACTACTTAAACGTCTTCACCAACGGTGATGGTGAAGACCATCCACGTAGGCTCTTGATCAAGGATCGTTGGTTCGATGGGATCGTGGACGTATTCTTGGAGGAAGAGGTTGAATTGGTCTCGGGTATTCTTCTCCGATCGTCGGCTTCGAGTGATCGCTCCTTGCGCAATGATCGGGGCGTTGGATCGAGTCATCGATCGAGTTTGTCGAGCTGGTTCGATCGTTCCGTCGGTTTCGCCGACCCGTCCGTATCTCGCTCGATCAGTACTCGTTCCCTCGTGGTCGCCATCCGTCCGTCCGTCCGTGTCGTCCGTCCGGCCCGAGCTGTCATTGCTCGATGTCGCATCATCCCTCCCCCCTTCAAAGGGTTTTGTCCTCAAAACATGTTCTTCGTCCCCTACATCAAACGGAGACAAGTCAGTAACATTAAAGGAGGTAGATATTAAAGGCTCACCCGGTAGTGCGAGACGGTAGGCGTTGTCGTTGATCCGCTCGGTGACTTGGAATGGTCCGTCGCCTCGATGACTGAGCTTGTCCTTCCTTCGGGTTGGAAACCTTTCTGGGCGAAGATGAAGCCACACCCAATCTCCCGGTTGAAATATCATAGGCTTCCAGCGCTTGTTGGCTTGTCGGACATAGTGCTCGGTCTTCTTCTCGATGTTCTTGCGGATCTTCTCGTGAAATTCCCGAACATATTTGCTCTTCTCTACTCCTTCAAGACTGATAATAGGATCCAAAGGTAGGGGAAGGAGATCTAAAGGGGTTAGAGGCTTGAAACCGTACACCACTTCGAAAGGAGAAGTCTTCGTCGCCGAGTGCTCGGATCGATTATAGGCGAACTCGATGAATGGAAGGCAGTCGATCCATGATCCCTTGTTTTGAGCAAGGGTCGTTCGCAGCAAAGCACCTAGAGTGCAATTGGTCACTTCGGTCTGTCCGTCGGTTTGGGGGTGTGCGGCTGTTGAATACAAGAGCTTTGTCCCGAGCTTCTTCCATAAGGTCCGCCAAAAATGTCCAAGAAACTTCTTGTCTCGATCGGAAACGATCGTGCGAGGGATTCCATGGAGCTTGACCACGTCCAGAAAGAAGAGGTTGGCAATTTGCACCGCGTCGTTGGACTTGTGGCAAGGGATGAAGTGAGCCATCTTTGAAAATCGGTCGACCACCACAAAAATGTTGTCCTTGTTGTCGATGATCGGAAGACCGAGAATAAAATCCATCGATAGATCGACCCAAGGACTTTCCGGAATTGGAAGCGGAATGTATAGCCCGTGCGGTCGAGTGGTTGACTTAGCCTTCCGACAAATTAGACAACGGTTGCAAAACTTCTCGATCATTCGCTTCATCTTGGGTCAGTAGAAATGCTCCCGTAGCACAGCTAACGTTTTGGCCACTCCGAAGTGACCGGTCAATCCTCCACCATATGCTTCTCGAAGAAGAAGCTCTCGTATCGATCCGTCCGGAACACAAAGCCGATGCTCCCAGAACAAAAACCCATCGTGGATGAAGAAGCGATCGAAATTTGCTTTCCCATGCTCCCTATAACACTCGCCAAACTCCGGGTCGTTCTCATACTGACCCTTTAACCCTTCGAATCCTAGAATGGTCGCGTCCATCGTGGTGATCAAGGAGTGTCGCCTCGACAAGGCGTCGGCTACAATGTTCTCCTTTCCCTTCTTATACTTGATCACATAGGGGAAGGCTTCGATGAACTCTAACCATTTGGCATGTCTCTTCTTCAAATTGGTCTGGCCCCGTAGATGCTTCAAAGTTTCATGATCGGTGTGGATTACGCATTCTCGAGCTAGGAGGTAATGTTGCCAAGTTTCCATCGCCCGGACTAATGCATAGAGCTCCTTATCGTACGTCGGGTAGTTGAGGGTAGCTCCACTTAGTTTCTCGCTGAAATAGGCGACAGGTCTCCCACCTTGGGTAAGGACAGCTCCTATCCCTACATTCGATGCATCGCACTCCACCTCGAAAGTCTTGTTGAAATCCGGAAGGACCAACAAGGGAGCTTCAGTAAGCCTCTGCTTCAACTCTTGGAAGGCTCTTTCCTGGGCATCTCCCCACTGAAACTCGACGTTCTTTTTGATCACGGCGGTGAGGGGTGCGGCGATGGTGCTGAAGTCTCGGACGAATCGCCGATAGAAACTCGCTAATCCATGAAAGCTCCGAACTTGTGCGATGTTACTTGGTGTTGGCCATTCCTCAATAGCCTTGATCTTCTCATTATCTACTTTGAGACCCTGCGCACTAATAACAAAACCTAGGAACACAAGTTCATTAGCTCCAAAAACGCATTTCGTGAGATTTGCGTATAATCTCGCCTCTTGGAGGGTTTGGATCACCATCTCGAGGTGATCCAAGTGCTCCTCTAGGCACTTACTGTAAATCAAAATGTCATCAAAATATACTACCACAAACTTATTAATAAAGGTTCGAAGGACCTGATTCATTAACCGCATGAAGGTCGAGGGAGCGTTAGAGAGTCCGAACGGCATCACCAACCATTCGTACAATCCTTGTTTGGTTTGGAACGCTGTCTTCCACTCGTCCCCTTCCTTCATCCTGACTTGATGGTAACCACTTTTGAGATCGATCTTGGAAAAGATTACGGAGCCACTCAACTCATCGAGCATGTCGTCCAAGCGCGGGATCGGGTGTCGATACTTGATCGTTATGTTGTTGACGGCTCGACAGTCCACGCACATTCGCCACGACCCATCCTTTTTGGGTACAAGGAGAACAGGAACGGCACACGGACTGAGGCTTTCCCGAACATAGCCTTGCTTCATGAGGTCGGCTACTTGTCGCTCCAATTCTTTAGCCTCTTCCGGGTTGACTCGATACGCGGGACGGTTGGGAAGTTGAGCACCCGGTATTAGGTCGATCTGATGTTCGATGCCTCGGATTGGTGGCAAACCTTTGGGTAGTTCTTCCGGAAATACGTCCTTGTACTTCTCCAAGATGGATTTGATCTCGTCCGGTACGTAGGGTTCCTTAGGTCCTACAATCACATCATCTTTAAAAACCATGAGTAGCATTTTACAAGTAGGATCACTTAGTGACCTTCTAACTACACTAGGATTAATCAAAAAATTTCTTTTAGTGCTGGTTTCCTTAGACAGTTTCGATTGCATTTCATTAACTTCGGATGGTGACAAAGGTGTTAAACAAATACGTATATTATCATGCATAAAAGAGTATTGGTTGGTTCGACCGCAATGGTTGGTTCCCTTATCAAACTGCCACGGACGTCCTAAGAGGACGTGGCTAGCTTGCATTGGTACAGCATCGCACAAGACTTGATCTTGATACGGGCCGATGGCAAAAGGAACCGTGACTTGTTCATTAACTTGAATCACGGTCTTGTCGTTCAACCACTTAAGTTTATAAGGTCGAGGGTGGTTTGTGGTCGTTAAAGAGAGTTTCTTGACCATGTAGGTGCTCGCGACATTGGTACACGAGCCACCATCTATGACCAAGCCACAAACCTTCCCACTTACAGTGCAACGGGTGTGGAAGAGATTATCGCGCTGATTGGCATCATCGGGTTGTTGCGAGACGCTAAGGATCCTTCGGATGACAAGTAACTCGCCAACTTCGGGTTCCGCGATGACTTCTTCGATCTCGCCAACCGGATTCTGCTCGATCGGGTCGTCGGCTTCATCTTGAGACTCGACCTCTCCAGCTGCGGTGATGATCATTGTTCGTGGGTTCGGACAATCTCTCGCCATATGCCCTCTGCCTTGACACTTGAAGCAAATAATGTCTCGGCTGCGCGTTTCATTCGGTTGTCGCCTTGGGTTAGTCCGAGCATCGTTGTTATTTTCTCTCGGCCTGAATCGAGACTCGACAACAGCAACCTTTGGCTTGTCTTGGGGCTTGCTAACGGGCGAAGCACTTGGTGACCAACTCGGGGTTCCTTGGACGCGGCTTCGATTCAAGGTAGCAACCTTCCGTTTGATTTGTTGTTCACATTGCATCGCGAGATGTAGGAGCTCTTCAATACCGGCGTAAGGTTGTCTCTCAACCTTTCTCGCGATTCGGTCTTGTAGTCCGTCGAGGAATTGCGCCATAAGGGTTTCCTCAGATTCGTCGAGCTGGAGCCGGTTCCGCAAATGCTCGAAGTCTTCATAGTATTCCTCGACCGACTTGGTGCCTTGAGTGAGACGCCGGAACCGCTTCTGGAGATCACGATGGTATAGTGGTGGTACGTATCTCCGCCGCATGATGTTCTTCATGGCTTCCCAAGTCGAGATAGCCGGCTCGAGGTTTCGTCTTCGTTCGGCCATGTCTCGATCCCACCAAGTGAGAGCATGGTCGGTTAGTTGAGCAGTGGCATAAGTGACTTGCCGTCGCTCATTGTAGTTGTAACACGAGAAGACGTGGTCCATTCGTCTCTCCCAATCAAGATATGCTTCGGGATCGACTTTACCGGCGAACGTTGGAATGGATAATTTGTGTCCGGGTTCTTGCGCTCGAAGATCTTCAGGTCGGCCTTCATATCGTCCGCGGGGGCGAGGACGTCGCTCATCTCCGGAAGACTCCAGTTGTTCCGGCTCGTAGTGATGTTGTTGTTGTCGCCCTAGGACTGCTCGCAAGGGTGCGCCTGGAGGCACGTGATTCTCCTCGATACGGGTCAACCTCTCCCGTATCCGTGTCAGCTCTTCTCGGAACTCGGTCAAGACAGCACCGAGCTCGGGTGGGGGTAGCGGCTCAGCGTCGGGAGGGTGAGGGTCCTCCATAGGTGGCTTAATATCCGGGTATTCGTCGGGTAACTGTCCGGAGAAGTGTATCCTTCGATCGCGGATGGTTGCAAACGAGGATCAGATAACGTTGGATCGGGTCGCTCGAGCGTTATTCGCGAATTGCTCCGTTGCGGGTAGTACTGGGGTCGGTCGCTTTCGTCGGGTACACGGACGGCTGCGATGACGGTTTGACCGGATCGAGGGCTGTCGTACCTGGATCGATAAAAGACAAACAACTTTTTCAGTACACGCGCTAATAAAGCAAAAAGCTCGAGCGTGTCAGCCAAATGATTGATAAAAAGTAAAAACAACGTAAGATCGAACAAATAACTCGACACGTGCTCAGATCTAAGACCCAAACACGTTTCAAAACCGGATCTAACAAAAAGTAAACCACTTTATCGAATCAAAATCGGACTTTTTCAAGAAAACATCGAAGGAAGCACGAAGAACATAATAGAACCCAGAAAATTCTCGATCTTTGCTAGATTCTACCGATACACAAACTAAGGCGATGAAGATAAACGAAAAGTAAGCTCGAAAAGGATAGATACAACCTGTTGTTAGGACCTTCAGCTTTGATACCACTGATGAACCTCCGGATACGCTCGACGGATCGAGGTTTAGTTCGGACGTCTCGAGCGGTGCAGCGGACTTCTCGATCGGAACGACAATGTTGCGTTATGCGGGAAAACGCTCTCGTACAAATGAGAGACGTTCTCGAGGGGTGATTGATGGGTCGTTGCAACGACACACGAGTGATGAAGAGACTCGTGATACGGTTGCCTCAACGTAGCTGAGCCCGGCTCGAAGGAACGATGAGGGTTTCCGGACCTTTAAACGGCGAGAGGCCTTTAGAGGAACGAAGAGATGACGCGAGAGAAAGAACTTAGGGTTTTATTTCAAGCAAGCGTAACCTCTACAAATGTCTAAGCAGCCTTTAAATAGGTGCGACCCGAAAGAGCTATCTATTTGCCCTAGGCCACGTGTGTGGTCGAGCGGCTTACAACAATTGTAAAGTAAGGACAAAAACCAACGTTCGAAATTCAAATGTTTTAAGATAGGGATAGAAGGATAGAATCCACGCGTCTTTGGTAAAACGCGTGGATGCGCTAGGATTAACTGCCTCGTTAAAACCTTCTCGGTAAAACCCAATGGGATAAAAACCGAGTTAGGAAAAAGAGTACAGCCGTTCGCTAACGACTTAAACGTCTTCACCAACGGTGATGTGAAGACCATCCACGTAGGCTCTTGATCAAGGATCGTTGGTTCGATGAGATCGTGGACGTATTCTTGGAGGAAGAGGTTGAATTGGTCTCGGGTATTCTTCTCCGATCGTCGGCTTCGAGTGATCGCTCCTTGGGCAATGATCGGGGCGTTGGATCGAGTCATCGATCGAGTTTGTCGAGCTGGTTCGATCGTTCCGTCGGTTTCGCCGACCCGTCCGTATCTCGCTCGATCAGTACTCGTTCCCTCGTGGTCGCCATCCGTCCGTCCGTCCGTGTCGTCCGTCCGACCCGAGCTGTCATTGCTCGATGTCGCATCAGGGCTAGTCCGCGGGTTTTTAGCCCTAACCGCGGTGGGCTTTTTTCGGATTTTGGCGGGCCAGCCCGCTTTGATCCACGGTCATAAAAATAAAAATCCTAATCCAACCCGCTTAATATATGCGGATATGCGGTTCAGCCCGCGGTCATATATTTGAGCGGAAGTCCAGAACAAAACAAACTATAACTAAAACTGATATTGTTACTTTGTTAGTGCATTAAAAGACAAGGTCTATGTTGTTAGTGTATGCAACTTGATAAGTGATAACAATAAACAAGACACTAGCCATGGCTCACATAAGTCACCACAAAAACCACATATAAAATAAAGTAAGTCTTAACCAAATAATTAACACCAATCAAACAAACGTAGTATTAAATCAGCAATCCCCTAGAATTGAAACGTAGATCAAAGCCAAAAGCTCTAAAAACCCTTCAATATCTCAATAAAATGTAAAGAAATAAAAGAAAAAGATTGGAGGACTCTTGAAGAACTTGGAACTTGGAACGTTGAATGTGCTTATTCCACCTAAAAGAAATAAACAATACCATAAGATAGAAACCAAGAGCAAAGTAAAACTAAAACAGTAAAACTAATTAATCTAAAGAAAAAACAGCAACAAGACTAACCTTCTTTTAATCCATATCTATGTTTAGTTCTTCACTTCAGCAGGTGGAACTTCATCCCCAGCAACCTCGACATCATTATCTACAAAATGCAATATACACAATTACAATATATATTTACCTTACATGTAAATAAGAATTTATGAGTTTACCTTCAAACCCACTCAACCAATTACGTCCACAAATCAAAGCTTCAACGTTCGTAGGTAGGAGAGAGCTTCTATATTTGTTTAAAACACGACTACCTATGCTAAACGATGATTCCGAAGCTACGGTTGTAATGGGAATACTAAGGACATCTAAAGCCATATAAGACAATTCCTTGAAACGAGAAGAGTTGTCTTTCCAATAATCCAAGACATTCATACTTTCGAACGCCATCATATTTAATGGTGCTTCATCCAAATACACATCCAAAGGTGATTTTCCATTGTCCCCTATTCTTTGTGAGACGAAAGCACAAAAGTCCTAGCACACAAAAAAATATCAAAATACTAAATTAGACGATGATGCATACTAAACAACAAAACAAAAACAAAAAGAATAACTTACACTATATCCATTTGGTGTGTGAGACCCAAACCAAGCCCACAAGGGGCCCAATAAAAAATACTAAAAACCCTAAGTGTGGTGCACTTGTATATATGTATATAGTGTATATATCTCCCTCTACCTCCAGCCGCTTCTTCACATCACAAACCTAACCCTAAAGCTGCACGAAGGAACCTCGTTTTCAAGCCTCCATCACCACTGTTTTGTGATCAAGGGTTGTTGTTGCCTTTCTTTCTCGTTGGATCACTTGAGAAAAGATTTTAACGTCACGTCTACACCATTCAACACCGGTTTCAATTAGGTAAGACAAATCTATCATGGATATGGTTTAATCCACTGATTATGTCTTTATTGGCTGCTTATTCGTGGTTTTTGGCTGCAACAATTGGAATTATAGTGGAGAAGAGGAATAGGTAAACAGTTTCAAGTGGCGTTTTTGGTGATCAATTTCCCGTCGCATCTGAACGAACCAGAACACGATTTTGGTGTCGTTGGATAGATCTCGCTGCAAGGAAGAAGTAGCAGTTTACAGTTCTTCATTACAAGGTATATTCCATCCGCAATTCGAGTTGAAAGTTGGCTCAAAGTCACAGTTTCTGTACCCAGAAATAACTTGTATCAGATTTCAGATTCAGGTTGGACTTTTGGAGAAGATATTTGGGTTAACTCTGATAGTATTAGGACAAGTTGACGGTGGTTACTAATAGAGCGAGTGTCAGGGAAGACACCAAAGTCTTCAAAGTTACTAGAAAAGGTACACCTTAGTTACCACGTGGATTGCTTGTTGGGCAAGAATGCTCTGTTTCAGTCAAACCCCAGAAACCCTAATCTGTCTTTGTACTGTTTTCTTGTGCTGCAAGTTTCAGATTGTTGCAAGCCGTTTTCAGTCTCTATCTTCTAGTTCTCAGTTCAGTCCAAAGTCAGGTGAGGGTGTGATCTGGGGAATTCGATTACAAGTGCTACTCTTATACTTCATTATTCTTTTGCATAGGGTTAGATTTGCTTGTGAACTAGTATTGTCTTGATAATTAGGAATTGATAATTTGATGAGTGTTGAATGTTTTAGGTGATTGATTTAATGTCTTAGGAATGACTATTTAAGATGTATAATATGTGAGATGAGATTACCATCCTTAGGGATGATGAAAGAGGAAATGGTCTGCATTGAATTGACGGGTTCTTTGTAGCTCAATAAAAGGCTGACGGGCCCAGTGGAACAAGATAGGTTCAAAGGTCATGAGAGATGATCGAACCTGGTATTGAGGTGGAATTCTTGCTTGTAGCAAGAAGTATGGTGTGTTCTAGCTTGGCAAAGTGTTGTCGGGTAGTTGATTGTGTGTCTTTTTCTATGTGATTGATAAGTGTGGTTTAAAGTAGTTTCTTTCTTCGTATTTCCCAGTGGGCGGAAAGGATCCTCTCACTGAGTAATTCGTTACTCACCCCCTCCCCCCCCTTCTTTCCTTTTCCTCAGGTGAAAGTGAGAATCTTGAGTAGCCGCGCAAGTCCGTCTCGTTACTGGTGTTTATTTTGGGAAACTTGGGTTTTATTTACTTTACCATTATTTTCTTATTTATGACTATTTAAGTTATTTTACGAAATAATGAAGACAAGTTATTTTTAAGGTTTTTAATAAAGGAAGTTTTTTTCTTATAAGTATGAGTAAGTAAGATAGACGAAATGTCTAATAAGGCAAGTAGCATGCTGTCTCATTTTTTTCAGGGAGACGGGTGTTACAAATGGTATCAAAGCCAGGTTAAAGCCAAGCCGGTGCTGACCCGGACGGCTAAGTTTTATTTTATTTTTTAAAAAATAGATTTTATCAAAAACGGGAATGGGGGTTTTTATCAAAAGAAAAAAAAAAAAAAGCAACACCAGTAGAGCAGGACTTGCGTTTAGAGTTTCTTTAAAGTTTTAGTTTCAGTGGTTCTTATGGTTGACCTTGTGTAAACAGAAAATGGCACTAGGCAGACGAGGAGGTAGACGGGGTGGCACAAACCTTAGAGGAAACCGAGTAGGGGATGCACCTATTGATGAGCGAGAGCAACAGGAAGCAAGAGAGATTCCAGTTGCACCTCATGCAGCGGAGATTGCTGCAACTCGTGCGGAGATGCAGGTGCTCCGAAACATGATGCGGGAGATTTTGGAGCGACCTGTGTATGCACCCCCACCACCACCTCCAGCAGTTGCACCTCATCAGGCAGCACCAGTTGCACCTCAGCAGGTACCACCAATACCAGCGGTTGTTCCTCCTCAGCACCATCAGGCACCACCACCGCCACCAGCAACCAGAGTTGAGTATTCTTACTTTGAGATAATGAAGCTCATGAGTACGATGGGCACTGAGTATTTCACAGGTGGAACTGATCAAGTTCGGGCCGATGATTGGAGACAAATGTTGGAGAAACATTTCAGGTCAGCAAGATGCCCAGTGGAGTATAAGAGCGATCTTGCAGTGCATTACTTGAGGGGAGATGCAGATAATTGGTGGAGGAGTGTCGAAAAGAGCTTACCAGTCGGATATGTGCCTACTTGGGAGGATTTTCTTTCGGAGTTACAATAAGAAATACCTTCCTCAGGAAGCTATGGATCTGCTTGAGTGTGCGTTTTTGGAGCTTCGTCAGGGAACAAAGACTGTTAGGGAGTATGACGATGAGTTCACTCGTCTATTAAGATTCACAAAGACAGACCATGGAGAGCCGGAGTTGATTCGTAGATTTATGAGAGGACTAAGGGCTAATATTCGTAACCGTTGTTCTATTAGAGGATGTACTAGCAGGGTTGAGCTAGTTGAGCAAGCAGCTACGATGGAGAGGGGACTTGAGGAGGAAGCTAGAGATCTTAGGATTACTCAGCAGAGAGCAACTAAGGGAGCAGAATCACTGAAGCGTACAACAGATAACCGCGATACAGGTTCAGGACAGACTCGTTACTTAAAGTGTACCAGGTGTAATCGAAAGCATGGAGGGGTGTGTTGGTTGGATTCAGGCAAGCATGGAGGGGTGTGTTGGTTGGATTCAGGCAAGTGTTTCCAGTGCGGTAAAGTTGGTCATACTAGAGAAAATTGTCCAGAGGGAGTGGATACTTGTAGGAGGTGCGGACAGCAGGGTCACTATGCACGGGAATGCACTACGCAAATGGTAATGACGGGAGGACAGCAGCGGAATCAAAACCGAGGAATTTTACCACCACCACCACCAAAAAGGCAAGCAGTTGGACCTCGAGTGTACGCAGCAGCGGGCGAGGATGGAGCAGAACCGATTATGGGTAAGTTTTCATCAAAGCTTTTATCTATTTTCGTTGTGGTAGTTAGTTGTTATGGTTTTTGTGTGTGGGGGTTCCTTAGTTTATAAAAAAAAAAAACTCTGTAGGATCGGTTTTTATTGGGGGAGTTTCAGCCTGTACAATGTTTGACACTGGAGCTACCCATTGTTTTGTGAGCCCCAATTTGGCGAGGAATTGGGATTCCAGAATCGACTTTACAGAGAAACGAAGGAGAATTGAAACCGCTGGAACACAGTTAGTAGGATCATCGCGGACTTACAGAGACGTTCCTGTGGTGATAGGCGGAGTTGAGCTGCTGGGAAATTTTCTTGAGATGGAATTGAGACGCTACGACGTAATCGTTGGCATAGACTGGTTAAAGCGTCATGATGCCAACTTGGACTGTCGAGGAGCTCGTGTTATCATCAATCGAGCTGAAGGGAATTTGGTATTCTAGGGAGTTGAAACTAATAACGGAATTCCAATCATTTCAATGATTCACGTTGAAGGGTTAGAGTGGAAGGGGCCTGAAGCATATGTGGCAACCATCTCTATTGAGGGAGGAGAAATTGGTGTAGAGTTGGATGACATTCCTGTAGCAGCAGAGTACGGAGATGTTT